ATGTATTAGCGAGTGCCGCGTTGTGGGCGCCGCTTTTGGTGGAGCGCCCTGTGGGGCCACGAACCGTGTATTGGGCGTGCCAAGCTGTGCGGGGGGGCGCATGCGGACTTTGCCGCTGGGGCCTTCGGTGGAGCTCCCTATGGGGCAACGAACCGTGCGAGGGGTGCGCGGACATGGGCGGGGCGACGCATGCGGACCCTGCCATTGGGGCTTTCGGTGGTGTTCCCTATGAGGCCACGAACCGTGTGAGGGGTGTGCCCACATGGGCGTCGGTTGCACGCGGACCCTGCCATTGGGCTCTCGGTGGATCTCTCTATGGGGCCACGAACCGCACGATGGGTGTTCCACAACGGGCGGGGAGGGCGCATGCGGACCCTGCCGCCGGGGCTTTCTGTGGAGCTCCCTATTGGGCCACGGGCCGTGTGAAAAGTGTGCCTAGATGGGCGTCGGGCGCATGCGAACCTTGTCGCTGGAACATTCGGTGACCTCCCTATGCGGTCACGAACCGTGAAAAAGGCGTGTGTGTGTGCATGTGTGCCAGAATGGGCGTCGGGCGCATGCGGGCCTTGCCACTGGGGCCTTCGATGGAATTCCCCTTGGGGTCACGAACCGTGTGAAGGGGTGCGCCAACATGGGCGTCGGGCGCACGCGGGCCCTGCCAATGGGGCCTCCGAAAAAACTCCGTATGGGGCCACGAACCGTGTGAGGGGTGTACACAATTGGGCGTCGGGCGCATGCGGGCCCTGCAGCTGGGGCTTTTGGTCGAAAAATGAAAATGCGCGGGGGGCGCATGCAGGCCGTGTCACCGGGTTGTCCGGTGGAGCTCCCTATAGGGCCACGAACCGTGTGAGAGGTGTGCCGGAATGGTGCGCATTCGGAAGGCATAGGCACGATGCTGACGATGGTGACGGTAATAAAGCCTTCGGCGGGTGCTTGCGGCGCGCGGAGAGCAGCGGCAGGAACGGGAGAAGGGAGGGGGAGGAAGAGAGGAGAGGAGGATAGGTGGAGGGACGCGGGGCGGTGTTTTGGAAACAAAAATAATGCACGCGCGTGCATGTTTTCTGAACCAAAAACAATGTGCATAACTACTGCTGTTCCCAACCATGCTGTGGTGTTGGGTCCTCGTTTTGAAGCGACAGCGCCCCGAGTCCACTCCTCTCCCCCTCCTCCTCCTCCTCCTCCTCCTCCTCCTCCTCCTCCTCCTCCTGTTCCTCCTCCTGTTCCTCCTCTTCCTCCTCCTCCTCCTCCTCCTCCTCCTCCTCCTCCTCCTCCTCCTCCTCCTCCTCTCCTCCTCTTTCACCTCTCCTCCTCCTCCTCCTCCTCCTCCTCCCCCTTCCCTCCTCCCATCATCTTCATGAGCATAATCATCGTCAACGTCAGCATCATCATCAGCATCAGCATCAACATCATCATCTCATCGCTTCATCAACACATCGTCATCATCGTCATCACCACCCGCAGAATGAACATCATCAGCATCGCCATCATCATCATCATCATCATCATCATCATCATCATCATCATCATCATGATTATCACCACCATCATCACCATCATCATCATCATCAACATCATCATCATCATCATCATCATCATCATCATCATCATCAACATTGCCGTCACCATCACCATCAGCGCCACCCATTGCGCCACACCCCTCGCACGATTCGTTGCCGCATAGAGACTTACCCCGAAAACCACGGCGGCGGTGCCCACATGCGTCCGCGCCACCCATGCCGGCATACCCCTCACACGTTCCGCGTGGTCCCATAAAAAGTTCCACCGTGGGCCCCAATCGCGGTGCCCACATGCGTCTGCGCCACCCAATCCAAGACACCGCTCACACGTTTCGTGGCCCCTCAAGCTCTATCGAAGGCCCCACTTGCGGTGCCCTCGGCTGCGCCCAATCGTGAAATAATCAACGCGGTGTGTTTACATAGTGTATTTACGTAGTGTATGTACGTAGCGAACTTGCGTAGAGTACTTGCGTAGTGTACTGGCGAGTTACTGGCGTAGTGTATGTGCGTAGTGTATACTTGCGTGGTGAACATACGTCGTGTATTTGAGTCGTGGATATGCGTAGTGTGTGCGCGTGTGTGTGTGTGTGTTTGTGTTTGTGCGTTTCACGGCGTGATTCACAGAGGGTGTTTCTTGCCTCGGTTTTCCCCCCCAGCCATTCTGTGTATTTGGTCTTTGTTCTGAGAAGACAGTCCCCGCGTCCCCTCCTCTCCTCGCCTACTCTTTCCCCCTCCTCCCTCACCCCACCATCATCGTCATCACCCCATCATCCCATCATCCCATCATTCTCATCGCAGCCACCGTCGGCATAAAAATCATAATCGCTATCGCCTTTATCATCATCATCATCATCATCATCATCATCATCATCATCATCATCATCAGCACCAACATCATCACCATCATCAACAACACCATCATAATCACCATCATTGCCGTCACCCACCACTATCATCGCCACCCATGTCGGCACGCCCCTCACACGCTTCGCCGCCCCATTAAGGGAGTTCCAACGAAAGCCCCACTGGCGGTGCACACCCCTCACACGTCGCGTGGCCTTATCGGGAGCTCCACCGAAGGCCCCTATGGCGGTGCCCACATGCGTCCGCGCCGACCATTCCGGCACACCTCTCGCACGCTTCTTGGCCCCATAGGGAGCTCCATCGGAGGCCCCAGTGGCAGTGCCCACATGCGCCCGCGCCACCCATGTCTGCACACCCATCAAATGCTTCGTGGCCCCATAAAGAAATTCACCGAAACCCCCAACGGCGTTGCCCACATGCGCCCGCGCCACCCATTTCTGCAAACCCCTCACACGCTCCGTGGCCCCATAGGGATCTCCACCGGAAGCTCCACTGGCGGTTCCCACATGCGCCCGTGATGAGCACGAACCAGTGCACAGGTTCGCGACGCGCACGAACCAGTGCAGGAGGAAGGCTCGACAGATGGTGACCGGCGCCTGTCGGGGGGACTCCATCCACATCGCGCCCTTTTTGCATTCGCCTCGCTGCGCAATGCGGGAGCGCTATCCATCCGATCTGTCTATGGAACCCTTTCGGGATGGCCAGACAGCGTCGTCGGGGATTTCCCAGCCACTTTTGCGCGGCGTCGCCTGCGCGGTGCACTCGGCGCGGCTCGCTTTAGGCCAGGAAGCAACCTTTCCCCCCTAGCCTGTCGTTTCCTCGCCTCCTGACCGCACGCCCGACCAGTTTTTTCGTTGCCCGACAAGTTTTGTCGCTGCTGCTGCTGACCTGCCTCTGGCATATTCGCGGTGCTTCCGCGATCTCATCCTGCGTGCCAGGTCTTAAGATGCGCTGATGCTGACGTAGCGCGTCGCCCCATGGAGCCCTCCAGCTCCGCGCGGCGCCCCCATACCGCAGTGCCTTACGCCTCGTCCTTCCTGTGGCGCGCTGCGTGTGAGAGGGATGGCCGTTCTTCGCAATACTCGTAGTGTGCGTCCCCCCCTCCTTCGTACCATACTCTTCGCGGTACTCGCAGCTGCATATGGTTGGGTCCTTCGCCAGGCTGATGTTTACGCATGTGCGGGACCCTCGACGTTGAAACCCGTGCGAAACCCAAAATGTTTGAACAATGCCGGCATGCGCGCGCGACGACGCGCGCGCGGACTTTGTGTCACTTGCTGCGAGGAGTCTTAAAGAACCCGATGTTGTTTGATAAGCGAGGGTGCGCGCATAATGTAATTTGACAGAGATGGGGGGACGGTGACGGTTGGGCTGGCATGAGTTGAAATCGCATTCAAACTCAACGCTTTGGCAGAATCGCAGGAACACTGCGCAATCCCAAAGGGGGCCCGAGAGACTTGCGGGGGTGGGTGGCAGACCCTATGTTGTTCTAAACCAGTAGAGTCTCGGTTGTGCTGTCTTTGTGGGGAAGCCTATGTGGTGCAACCTATGTGGTGCCATCTGTGGTACACAATATATGTTGTGCTATCTAAGGGCTACAATGTATGAACGGAAATTGATGTGGTGCGCAATCTAAGTGGTACAATACAAGCTGTGCAATTTACTGTGGTACAACCTATGTGATGGAATACTTGTGGATCAACCGATGCGGTGCAATATATGCAGACTATGTGCTGCAATCTCTGGTGTGCAATCTCGATTGCGCTATCTAGATGTCGTAACCTACGTGGTTACATTTCGCTCTTGAAATTGCCACTTCCACTGCTCGTGCAATCATCTCACCCACCCTCCCGCAACTTGGCTTGCAAAGCCCATGCGGCGGCGACTGTGATGATTGCTCGGCGATGACTTGCGCATCGCTGCGACCGCGCCAGCGCGTGCAGGCTCGCGCGCTGACTGGCCAGCTAGTCTGGCGCGACCGACGCGGCGGCGATGGCGCTGACAGCCGAGGACTTCCCAGCGCGTCTCACAGGCCGCGCTGACGCGCGGACACTCCGGCGACTTCGGCGCGAGTCGGCGACTCGAGCGGGCGCGGCATCATGATGACGACGAGAGAGCCCAGCATGGTCAGGAGGGGGGGGACGAAGGGCCAGAGGGGCGAACGCGGTGGATGACGCCTACGGGAACAGGAGTGCGAAAATCTCCGCACTCGGGTAGAGCGCAGCTGGGACCTTCGCCTCGGGCACAATCATTCTCGGGCAATCTGGCGGCGCGCCCAAGGGGGTAGAGGGAGAGGGGAAGCTTCTTAGAAGAAGGCTGCTTCATAGAAGGCGCTGGCCCGCGCCTTCTGAGAAACAGAGATGCTTCCAAGAAGCCTTCCCCCTTCCCCCTAACCCCCTCTGCGCGTTGATGGGGAATGGATCTTTTGCAGCTCAGGAATGCTGCGATGCGGGGCAGGCAGTCAGTGCGACAAAGTCGCAGTTAACAATTGCAAGTCTTTCTCAAAGAAGAAGCCCAAACAGGCCCGACAAACTGTGCGAAACGCACAGTGCGAGACAGTGCATGGTGCATGGGGCTGGGCGGCGCGCTAACTCGCGCATGCCCTCCGCGCAGCTCACGTCAGAAGTGCCTGGTAAACTGCTGCTGCTGCAATTCGAGGTCGCGCGCTCTCCTGTTAAGCACCTCTACCACGGTCGTGATGTTGCGCAGGATGTCCCTCGCCTCGGTCATCTCCGAGAAGAGCAAGGACTTCGCCGCCCCTGTCCTCTCGACGACGCCGTCGGCAATGTACCCAGCCGACTCCATCACCAAATCGATCACCTGATCTTCCGTAGCGTGTGGCCCCTTCGGTCCACTGTCCTCACGAGCGACGAACATATCCGCATACACGCCATTCATCAAATCACCGAGGCGCGACCCCATTGATACGCGATCCTATGGATGCGCTCCACGCGAGGCATCCACGCAGAGCCGCCCTGTATCCATGAAGTCGCGCCCAATCCCAAACATTCGACGCCTTTGTGGCTGAGCAAAAACCCGCGCCACAAAGGTCTCGGCCTCGTCCTCGGGGACAGTCTTTGGTTCCAGAACCCGTGCTGATTGTCCCGGGGCCCGAAAGCCAGCTCCCTGAGGGCTGAGATCGGGAACAAGAACACAAGGATTGAACACAAACTATCCTTCGGGCGTCTGAGAAGAATCCAGAGAGTGAGGCTGTGGATGTTGACACGCTCCCCTTGGAAGCGGCCAAGGAGTCTGCGCGGGGCGGGCCCTGAGAAAGTCCGTCAAGAGGGGGGACGAGGGCAAATCCAGTCAAATCGGTCCCCGGACCCCTCCCGGGGTCGAAACTCACCTGTTTTGTCCAGCCGCGCCCAGCCGTGGCGTCGAGGGGGCCCCTTTATCCTTCTGTTCTGCTGGCCGGAGCAATGCTGGGCCACCTGAAACACCCCCACCCGGCTCCAACGCTTCCCGCCCGCGGTGTCCAGGCTGCCCAGGCTCGACTGGCTGCCCCTGCGACCGCTGTTGTCCTCCACCGCCCTGAGCTGCGAGGCGTGGTGCAGTGGGCCGAGGTCCGGCTCGGAGCCCGAGTCCTGCGGCGCGGGGGGGAGCGAAGCAGAGCAGATCGCGCACCATCGGTCCGACGGACTGGCCCAAGCTCGAGTCGGGAGTCGGCCGAGTGGTGGGGGCCGGAGTCGGAGAGATGGAAGCTGGAGTCGGATGGAAGTCGGGAAGACGCGTCCGCAGCTGAAGATGTGTGCTCGCCAACGTCAGCAAGGCAAGTGTTATAACCAGTGCATAGAGGAAAAAATGATGCCCGCCGTGGTGTCAGGCCAGTGTGCCGGAGGGGGGGGTAGCGTGCGAGGACGGGGAGAGCGAAGAGGATGAGGAGAAGGAGGACAAGGACTAGTAGGGCTGCGATGGGGCCCATCTGGAAAGTGGCCCGTAGCGAGGGCGCATCACTCTTACACTAGCCTCCGCTCCGACATTGTTACAGGGTTGCTGAAACTTCACGCTTGGACGTTCCATCCCAGCGGCCATATGGCCACCGACACACCCTAAATTTCCAGCGGGCCAAACGCCCGCTCCGAAACGAGGAAGGGGAGGACTAGGATGGAGAGGACGAGAGAAGGACGATAAGGAGTCCTCGCCGTCGTTCTGCACCATCACGCCCTGCTTCACCTTGATTCTTCCCCAGCTCGGGCTGGCGGCCCCCAGCGGAAGCGGCTGGCGGCCTCCGAGGTCCTTCGCCTGGCGCTCCTCGTAGGACTCCTCGCGCCTCAGCTCGTGCTCGTATCGCCCCCTCTTCCACCGCCTGTAGCGGTAGTACAGCCCAGGGACGAACTCCTTAAATCGCTCCTTGGATAAACAAGGGCTGTGCACAGCCAGTTCGTGCCATGACGACTTGCGCGTTGGTTTCTGATATCGCATGGGTCGTTCAACTTTGAATAATCGGGGCTTGCTGATAGCGCGGATCGTCCGATATGAGCCGATGCCGAATCACTGGCGGTGTTCAACCTTAAACGCCCGAGCTGGGGTCGCCGCCGCGTCGACACGGCACGAGCCTACCGCATGTGCACCGATCCTGGCTTGGCCAGGGTCGGTGCATGTGAATAGCTCTCGTCGCCTGGGCTCCTCCAGCCTGAAGGTCACAGACACGGTGACCATGAGCTCGGTCGTGCGTTCCACGAGCTCGTGCCACTGCCTGGCCTGTTTCAGCTCTTCTGTGAGCTTGGCATCCTGCAGGGCCCCAAGCATGAGGGAGACGAACAACTGCATCACGGTGAAGAAGATTATGGCGACGAACGCTATGAGAAGCAATGCCCCTGTAAACGGGGCACGTTCATGCACGGTAGCCATGTCGGAGTCTCCCAGAAGAGTTCGAACCAAGACAACGAAGGTCTTCCAGGGCGTGCTGAACACGGGGTCTTCGGCGCCGAAGGCGAATGTGAAGGCAAGAACAAACCCCATAAGCGAGGTGGAGAAGATGCAGAACCAGGTGAGGAGGTGCCTCTGCGAGCCCTGCACTGTTTGCATCAAGAATGCGATGTAAGGGAACACGTCGATGTACTTTACTGCCTTGAACCATGTGAGAACGGCGTTGAAAGCGATCAACTCCCTGATAGTCCGTACATTCTTCGCAAGCGGGCTGAAGTCAACAAAAGTGCTCACGCCCTGGCCTGCTGCATCATTAAACAGGACGTCAACCGGTGGCGTCAAGCTCCAAGTGTTCAGCCTGATGACGAAGGTCACGATGATGAGCAAGAGGTTCAGCCAGTCCAAAATGTTCCAAGCGTCCCTGAAATACTCCATCTTGATTCGCGGTATCTTGATCTTGCCGGCCCCCCGGTTCCGACACCCGATGAACTCCGCTGCCTCCTCCATGATCTGACGGACGACGAAGCCCAGAAGCACAATCTCGCCAACCAACGTCATCCAGTCGCTCATCTCTCCGGTGCCAAGCGGTGCGAGGTGCCGCTCCATCAGAATCTGAACATCGAAGGTGTGCACCCAGTGCCCGCTTGGCGCAACCTCGAACAGGATGCTGCACACTGCGTAGTACCCAGAGTTGAAGTTGTAAATTGTGAAATCCACGAACACTGCTCGAGTGCCTTGGGAGATCCAGCCAGAGTTTTCAATGTACAGGAGCCTCGTGTAGGACGCGTTATAGGTGGACGTCAAAGCCTCAATGAAGCCCCCAGGTCCATAACAAGACAGGCTCCCGCATATTGTTGAACCCGCCTCCATTTTTGTGTAATCGAATTCGGCATCGCCGATGGAGTTGATCGGGCCATAACTTGATTTGTCCTCGGACGCCTCAGAGTACCCGCCGTAGCATTGCGGGAACGCCGAAGCGAAGCCGTCGGCGACCTTGCAGTCCTGGTCGCTCAGTGTCTTCACCATGCGCATGCGAACCGTTCCGTACAGACGGTTCGAATGCGCCTCGTCCCCCCCAATTGTCATCAACTTCTGCACGGAGTAATCAGGCATGAAATAGATGGACGTATCGTTACCGTAGATGCCGGGTATAAATGATGTCCTCATATACTCCCAGAAGTTGTAGCTTGAATCAACGTCAGCAATTGGCATGGCAGCATCCGTGTCGAAACGCCTGCGGATGTATCCTTCATACGCCCGGAAATCGTCGAGCGGCTCGCCGAGAGCCAGAACGGTGTAGAGGATGAGAAAGCCAATGAACAATATGACGTTGAACCCTTGTTTCAATATCGCAAGCGCCCCTCGCTGCTGCGCGAGCAGATCGTTGAACGCCTTCTCATTCACCAAGACCTCGAGGCCTGTATTAGCATGTGGAAAAAATGGTGCTGAGGAAAACATATCCTCAACCCTGGGCTTCCTCACGGACCGGCTTACCAACCCGAGCATTTGTTTGGCCGCCCCGGAACACTTGTTTGTATGTTTGGCCAGAGGGCTTCCTCAGGGAGGCCGAGAAGCATGAACGATTCTGAGGTCTCACTATGTGTTGACGCATTGCGATCCTGCGTCGATCCTCAACTCCCGCCACCCCTGACCTCCCATGGGATTAACCAGAGCTTCGAGGCGGATACGGCCGTGGCGACGAGGACTCCGCCGCAGGCCCCAAACACTAACAAGAACGCTCCGAAAACGCAAACCTCGGGGCCGCTTTCTTCTTCGCGCGATGCCTGTGGGGCCCGTGTTCTCGGCCATGGCTGGCCGACCCTTCGCCGAGCGGGCGTGGGTCGGCAACTGCCGTCAGAAGGCTGCGCGGCCTCGGCGGCGCGCCAACACCGGGTGTGGTGGCGAGGGGGGGGGGGCTCCGCCTGCCAGGACGTCTTCGAAGCTCGAGGGGCGGTGGGGCTTCTTGCCGCTGGACTCCGAGCCCGTCCCCGAAGCTGCCCCCGCGGAAACCCCTCCAGACCCGTTGAGAAGAAGCGCTCTCAGCGCACCCCCAGACCCTTTGAGAAGGACTTCCCCCCCCTCCCCCGGCCCTGCCCCTCGGCGCCCCTCTGACGTAGACTCCGCGAACGGGCACTCTGGCCAGCGACCCAGCGAACGCAACCCGCCCCACCCTCCCCCAACGTGTGCACCCTGGCAACGCCCGAAGCGAAGCCCCCAAAGAGGCAACTCTGGCGGGTTTCCAAAGCACCCGTAACGTGGAATGGGTGAGGAAATCACGCCCGCAGCCACGGGCCCCATCTTTCTGCGGCATCTCTCTCGCTGGATCGACCCGTGAAGGCTCCAGCGCCCGACTCTCAGCGTATAAACGCAGGGTGCGAAAAAGACGGCGTGGCGAGCGCCCATCACGGTGTCGCTCGAACCCCCCCCCGAGAGTCCCCCAAAGTGGCCACCCCGGCGGGGTCCCAAAGCGCCCGTTGGTGGAGTGCTCGTCACGGTGCCTCTCGGACCCCCCCCCTCCTCTGCGCGCCGCCGCCGGCCTCGGCGGGCGCGACGACCCGCCGCCCCCGCAACGCCCCGCGAAATCGCAGGGCTCACGGTGGGGTGGACGGATCGCTGCCTCGCACTGGGGGCGCGCGCGGGCCGGGGCGCGCCGCGCGGGTGCGGCCGATGAGGACTAGACGTGCGCGCGGCGCGCGCGCGGGACTGGGGCCGCCCGACGCCGGCGGCGTTCGAGAGAGAGGCGGGGCGGGAGACGACTCCCGGGATGTCCCCGTTGGAGCGATCAGGGGTTGTCAAGCCAGACGGAGGGGCCACTATGGGGGGAACGTGTCAAAGGTAGGGTCTGGGATGAAGTGGGCTTAGAGGCGCCTCGTTCTGAACGGCTCCGGGAGATGGAAGTGGTGGTATTCAAACTGACTTCGTTCCCATACACCGTTTAAGGATAACCCTCCGTCGGACAACCCACGACATTAAGACGGATAGGCCACAGGGAACCCAGGATTATGTAAACCACATCAAACGGGATCCCCACGCGGGTTACCTACCATGCACGGGAAGAGAGAAGAGGGGGCAGATTCCTCGTGGCGCAAAATGGGATCAGCCGCCTTGCGGCCCGCCGCCCGCTCGCTGTAGCGCGGGAGCGCAAGGTGGGCGGGAGAGAAAATCATGCAAGCTGCTCAAAGCCAGCGGAAAGCAAGGAAGAGGAGAAACAACAAGAGGAAACCACGAGCCAACAACCCCGCGTCCGCTACCCCGCAGGGTGCAGGCGCCCCCTGGCTTTTACACCTCCATCAGAAGACGGGTGGGGCGAAGGCCCCGCCAAGGACGGGGTGGGTGCCGAGCTGGGGCTGCCCGAAGGGAAGCCATGGCCACGGGCGAGCCTGCGCCGCAAAGGGCTCGCTTGCACTCCCGTGAGCTTACCCTCTGCTCAGCCGAAGCTGAAATCTTCGCCTCTCAAAGAGCAGTCGAAGCCTTCGACGGCCGCGCACGCGATGGAAACACATTCCTGCGAACTCGACCAAAATTATCGTGGCCTTTTCGTGCGGGGGCCATGCGCGCGGGCACTTCCTGGCGCCCATCGACGGTCGCCGTCCTACCACGATGCTGGCAAATATTTTAACTGCGCAAATCCGGAAAGGCCAGCCTATAGGATGCAAAACCGATCCGCCGACCTCCACGGGCCCATGGACCGAGACAACAATGTCGGACGGAAAAAGGAGAACCCCAACAGTAGGGATGCAAGGGGCTCCAGAGGCCTCCAGCAGGGCCTTAATTGCCTCACAAAAAACCATACGTTCTGCAACGGAAGTACGAGCCAAAAGACGTGGCAGCAGCCTCGATCCAGGCCCTGCGGTCTCTCCTGCGAACGAGGGCAGACTGGGCGCCCCACAATCCCGGAAACCGGTCCTGGGGTCCGAACGGGCCGAGAGGCCCCCGGACCTTTCCCCGGCTTCTGACGCAGCTCGATCAGCCAGCTGTTCAGCCCGCCCCCAGCCCGAGGAACAACCTGGCGAGGCGAAGGCCCTTCGGCGCTTAAATCCAAATTTGAAGGGGCCCACCCAAGAGTGATCTGGCCAGCGCCTGCGGCGCCGACGGCAATCTTTACGCGAAGCCATGGATCCCAATTCCGCCCCCCCACCGCCCTGGACTCTCGACCGACCTCGCTCCCACCCCGCAACTAGGGGGCCATGGTCCGCGCCATAGTGCGCGCGGGGCCGCCGGCGCCCTCTAAGCATGACGCAAATAACGCGAGAAGTTCGGAACGCGGGGCCGTCTGGATGTCGCCGACTATAATTCCTGACGCGCCCCCGACCGCTCCCCACTGAGACGTCTCTGGGTTCTGCCGCGCCGCAGCGCTGGCGACAGGGGGCCCGCCGCGGCGCGCAACGTCCGGCCTCCAATGTCGCAGTCTCCGTCCTTGACGACGGAGGTGCTCGCGCCTCGGCCAGCGCGGGTCGATCTCGCACTTCAAGTCGTCGCCTGCCTCGCGACTGCTGGCCTAAGACCAAAACTGCGACCGAAAATCCGACGTCCATCTCGTCCCCAGCAAACCCAGGGAGAGAGGAAGATGGCATATGCCAGTCAGCCATGCCTGGCGACTCATGGCGGCGCCACTTGGTCGCAGTGGGGGCCGTCCAGCCTGCGCTCAGTAACGTTGGCTGCTGAAACAATGCCTTCCGCAACCCTCCATCGCCCTGGGCACCCGGCAAGTTCCAGCCGTTGCAGGACCTTGGCCACGAGAGCTCAACTCGACGATGGAACTCAGGATGCAAGCGCCGCGCTGCGAGATACTCCGCCGCCAACTGGCGACGAAGCTCCAGTGTAGGATCCTCGCGGCCGAACAGCGCGCCGATGACGCTCGCGAGGCGCCTGCTCTGAGCGGCCCAGATCCTGCGGCGGCCGCCCGGCGGCGCTGGCGTAGGAGCCGGCAAGACGCACTGCCCAATGCCTAATGCCCGCAGGCAGCTTTGAAGAGCGCCGGCGGCCCCCAGACCGCGGCAAACACGACGCAGCTTGGCGCGGCGCCGAACGCGGCGCTGTCGAAAGGCCCTTCGCCCAGCTCCGACAATCCTCTAGGGGGACTCGCGAACAGACCGCCTGCCTCCCCCCGTAGAGCCAGCCCCGAGATCCACCGCCGAATGAGAAAATTGGACAGGCATGGCCGCGGCACGAAACCGCCTGGCCAGCAGCTCGCCCAAACTCACGTCGTTGGAAATGAGGACCGTCTTGGGTGACGCCACAGGCCGTGCGGCGCCGAGACCTGCCTTGAAATCGGTGGCCGACTCGACGGGGCTGTCTTCCACTGCACATTGGCACCTTCGGTGCGCAAGACCTCGTCATCGATCAACGCCCCAAACGTGGTGGAAATGGCCATGCGCCGCGCCCTCTGCAAAAGAGGGCGAAGAAATAACTTCGCAGACTGCGCGCCGTGAGGCGACCCTGTCGAGTCGGCAGGACGGCGCCCGCCGCTCCTCTCTGGCCTCGTAGAAACGCGGACTGACGCACAACTGCACGTCCAAAGAGACCACGATGGGAGGATAGCCCAGCTGCTGATCCGCACAAAAAAAGCACAACCGACGAAAGAGAATCAGACAACTGCTCAAAGCCCAAGGGAAGGGCTGCGGCCGAAAAACGCACCGCGGCAGCTGTCGCATCGAGCGGCGCCCGAACCATGGCGGCTCGCAAATCGCTGCTGCAAACAATGGCCGGACCCCAGTGAAACGGGAGACTGTCGGACCATTCCGACGCAGCACCGCGCCGTGGCCAGCTCCATATCTTGGCCGTTTTGGGCATGAGGCCAATGACTCGTTCTCCGCCTGCGGGCTTCGGCAGGGGCGCGCGCGCCGCGGCGAGCAGCTGAACGGGCCAAACCCCTTGCTCTTCACCCAAAGATAGCCACTCCCCAGAAACCCCGAGCGATCTTGAATCGGGAGCCGATGGAGGCCACGCGGCGCAATTTCATCGACGCCAGCCTCCTTGGAGGGCAACCTCGCAACCGTGCCATCTAGCGCCGATAAGGTCAGTGCTCGAAGTGGCAGTCGGAAGGAGATGCTGCAGCGCGCTGGCGACGGGATCCGAGGTGTCGACGGCGTCGATCCGAAACTCGCCAAGAGAGACTCTTGCTGCTGATGAAATTAGCAAGGTCAGAGAGCGCGCGACCGCGATCGAAACCTCCCGCTTCAACTGTCTTTGGGTCGCGGACGAAGGTGCGCGAACGCCCTGGATGATGCTTCCACTGCCGGGGCGCCCGCTTTGTGAAACTGTGGCGCCCGTTGGTAAGCGCCCTGGCTTGGGCGCCACGAGCACGGCGTTCTCTCAGATGGGCGAGGTCGCCCAGCCCTGCGGGGGGCGAGGAGCAGCGAGATCCTGTCCAACTGATCCAACGAAGAAGCTCCGCTTGACGATCAGGACCAAAGAAATCATTGGAGTCCAATTCGCTCTGCCTACTGATGCGTCTGTTGAGGCGCAGGAAAAAATCCAAGAACTTCTCGGGATCTCGACCGCGCTTGGCGGAAGCGGCAGCACGCAAGACAAGCGCATGAACAACCCCCAGCCACTTCCCGACCTAATACGTAAGATGGGCGCGCCCTGGAGCGGCGCAAGAAAGCTGCCGCTTAAGCTCGGGGCCCGCAGCGCAAGCGGGAGCAAACTAGTCCATAAAACGAGGCGCCTCAAATGCTGGCTTAGCCTTGGGCGAAAGGGATTTTTCTAGAGGAAAAGGGTTCGGTCCCAGGAAAAAAATTCGTTCTCCGGGTGTGCTACCGAATCCTTGTGGATTCCTGGGCATCCTTCGGAAAGGGTTCGTTCTC